ACTTTAATTGCAACTATGGTAATATCACGTATGATTTTTGTCTAAACATATTTAGTGAATGCTCGAAAAATAAATTGCGTCCTTTTTTAGCAAACTAAAAAATTAGTTTACTAGTCATTTTTCTTGTAAAACGTTGCATTGTTTATATTAATATAAACATGCACTTCTAGTTTGTTAATTTGATACGTGTCTAAAAAGGAAAATTAAAATGGTCATTTTTTCATAAATAAATTCCTTTATTTCCAGTTAAAGTCGAAATGTGTTCTTATAATCCAATGAACTTACTGAATGAGTTTCGTTTAATTGCAAGGTTTCCTTAACATATTGAACCAAAAGAAAATGTATTTTGTCTTCTTTTACTTATTTAGTATTTCATCCAAACTAATATTAAATGAAGACAGGGACTTGGAGAAAATATAAATTATGCGCGCACTTATCCGAAAGTTATAACCGAGGGCTAACCGCATGGCATGTGTGATATTTAAACTTTATTTACAACAGGAATTTTTGTGAATCGATAAAAACCTGTTTAAGTTTTTAATTGTTGGCATTGCTATTACACAAACTTTAGTTAGGTCTTACCACTTTCTTATAGTTTATTTATAAAATGTATTCGGATATTACTGAGTATTCAAAAAATCATTATAACGTAATATTACGATTATTGATACCACCGGATATTTATTAACTTTTCGGATTTTTTTTGTTTACAAAATATTTGAATGCTTTCTGAATTATATCAAATCTAATACAAAATGAAATGCGTATGTTGATTTCTATTTTCAATGCATGGAGAGTTTGTAAGATTAATACATATCCAATAGGCAAAAAGCAATATTGACTTGCACGTTTTTCAATTCCTTTCCTTGTTTAATTTATTATAGTTACGTGTTTAATTTATTAGAGTTACTTTGTATTGTAACAATTGTATTCATTTCATAAAGACCAAAAATCTAAATAAGGAAAATATTTGAACGTAAATGCAAATAATTGCTGCTTATACATGTAGTGCATTCTGCATACATACATGGGTGCATGTATGTAGCTGTACGATAATGGCCTCGAGCAAAGAATTGTTATCGTTTCTATAGTAATTCAAATGAGGAAAAATTCTTTTCCCGTGATAAACAGAACAATAATTAAGATTTATTAAAGATAAATTTTTTGCTTTAACAAAAGTAATGTAAGGAAAATATTGTGTATACAAAATGAAAAAATAACACCTAATATGCACACCGATACGACATATGTTTATCTTCTGCCTGTTGATTGAGAAATAAGTAAATCTTTTAAGACAATGAATTAGCTTCGCAGATGCATCAGAAATCAATATGATTGTCCTGCATCCAACAAGACGATTAAAGATTCTCCGAAAGCGAATATAATGTAGTATAGAATTCTATATCAATGTATCCACAAATTAATAGTAAACACAAAAGTTTTGAAAGTAAATGTCAGGTTTTCTCTTAGATTTTTTGTTAAAGAATTCCAAAACATAACGATAATAGAAATAAATTATTGTGCTATTATTTGTTTAGTCTTTATTTGGAGTTTTGAATCAATTAAATGTTCCCACCACTAAGAAACAAGCAGGCAAAACAATTTGGAAATATGAGATTGCTAATCGCCGAAAGATTCACCGAGTCTTGTCTTTCTATTTACTGAAATGTTTAGCGAGTATTGCGGTATGACACAGAGCCTGAGAATAAAAAAAACCCTGTCACCATTCATTCATAAACAGCTTTCAGAATTCTTATTTTTCAAACAAAGAAATGAACTGTCAGAGGTTTCTAAAATGCACAGAAAAATAGGGAAGAATTGATAATATTCGGCCGGTTCATTATAATGATGGCGTGTTCTTATGCAAAAAATAAGGTTTATAAACTACAACTTTCGGACAACTCGTAATTGATGATTTCCTGCAAATCATTTTAAATCGAGGCTAAATAAAAAGTACCTAATAAATCACAGCATTTATATTGGCTGTTTATCGTTATATTATTTCGATATGTGCTATGCTCAAAAATTTCCCAATCGATATCTCTATAATACTTTTCATGAGAGTGACAGAAATTATTTTTTAAGTGAATTAAACAAAGAAACTAAATTGTTATAAATTATCTATCCACTGTTTTATATTATCATTATACGTGTGCGTATATATTGCCTTAAAAACATGATAAAAAATTGGAATACGTAATTTGCATTATTATTTGATTTTTAATTACTGATTTACTTCATTATTAATAATTTTCGTCTTGTGCAATTGCTATTGTCAACAATAATTTTTATTGTTTGAACACGTTGGAAATTCTTAATATCTATAAAAAAATAGTGTCAATAGAATGCATAATCCAAAAAAAATAAACTGTATCGACGATTACTGAAATCAGTTATTAAATGTTTGTCATACATGATGTTTTTTAAGGCATGCACATTCCCTCCTATCCATTTGACCAAAATTATGTTTCTTACCCTTTATCGTTAACATTAACGATCGCGTTTTATGTGATCCTTAAGTAAAAATTATTTGAATGACCAGGGAAAAAACTAAATCCTTAAGGAGAACATTTAAAATTTTTTAAAATCTGAGTGGCAAATGATCCAATAGATAATCTATTTAGTAATTTTTTTTTTTGAACTGCATATCATACGAATTTTGAGCGTTACTAAATTTTCGGAGTGTCCGTAATTATATTTTTAATAACGCTTATTTGAAGAATACACATGGTCAAAGCCGGAGAATGCGAATATGACTTTGCATAAGAATCTACGAATTCGTTTAAAATTTCCTTAAAAAAAAGGAGAATACCCAAATCTGTTAAAATTGCAATTAAAGAATCTCGCTAAATATAATGAATGTATTTGGTTTAGTTTCTCTGTAGCGATTCAAATAATAGTAATGATGGTGGCTAATCGCATCTCTGATATCTTTGATCCGGGATGATCCATGTTTACTTATTATGTAATTTAGAAATTCTATTCCGAGCTAGACACATTTAATAGATATGCCATATTTATAAGCCAATTTTTGTCGTCGTTAACGAATTAAATCCTCTTTTGAATCCTCAATATTTAATGTTCCTATCCCACAACCAAAAATGACAAAATCTAAGATTGTTTTGGAAATCAATGAAAAAATCTCATGCGTAAAACATAGCCCTGTATATATTTTGTGTACCCATATACTAAATTATCAAACAAAAACTTAGTGACATTCGTAACCGTAACAATAATAATAATACATGTAGTATGTTCTACATCACTAGGTAAATTTATAACTAGTAACTATCGGTACATCCGCTGCAAAAGAAATCCTTAAAAAAAAGCAAGATCGCACAAATTCTGTGTAAACTTGGCTTGGGATTACCTGATACCTGTTTAAATCTTGTTATTATTATTGTTGTATACAACGAATGTATTACAATAGGCAAAAAGTTGTCATTTCTTGACAACAATCAATCCTATGCAGTGGAATACATGAATCCTATCACTTTATTTAATCATTACTGATATCGTAGAATAATGAATAAAATAAATACGTATTAGTTTTATGTATGCATTAATGATTTATCTAATGATACATTTGCATATCAGGCTTTATTAATTTACTGTATGCATTTTATACATATGATAAAAAAAGGACATAATCATAAAGAGAATCGTTAAACACTAACCATCATTGCCTTTCTATTACAACTCTCCTCCTTTTGTTCTTGTGATCGTTCAACACACACGTCACACACTCGAAAATCAGGTTTCTGGGCTCTAACAAAACTCCCAATTTCTTTGCTTTGAGATTAATTGTTTCTTTTCTTGTCATGCAATGGTGGTAAAAACTTGGCCTTTTAGCTTTAGCGTGACTTTTATTTTATCATTTGAGGATTTTCCCGCCATAAAAGAGCATATATATTTTTAAAGTAAACGGCACAATAGCAATTAGCAATAGTGAATATAAATAAAGCCAATTGTACAACAATACACAAAAACTTACTTTTTTCGCAAAAACCTTTATAAATGGGTATCAACTCGCCCACACTGAAAATTTTTAAGCGTAATATTTAGACACACCTATATTTATCACTATTTAGTACCACCACCCACTACACTCATATTATCTCTATCTATCTATCTTTTTTATATATATATATATATAAAAATACAAATAAAACTTTTGTTATCCATCTTTGCTCTTTTCCCCGTTCACTTTTTATAAATTATCTGGAAACAAGTTTTTTAATAAAGTTTATCGCACCTGCTTTTCACCTCATTTCTTTCCAACTTATTATACTGCCACTTATTATCGTTCTCATTCATTTCGCTTTGCTGGACAAACATTACTTACTCGTATAAACGCTATTCACTCATTATTCAATACTAAAGTCACTCAAGCATACATACAATTTATAAAAAATGCAGTTCATACCTGAAGAAACAAAGTCAGGCTGGCTGACCAAACAAGGTGGAAATGCCCTACGGAAAACATGGAAAAAAAGATGGTGTGAAGTAAAAGGAAATTATTTATATTATTATCGTCAACAGGTAATTAATTTATCAGTTAATTTATTTCGATATATTCATCCATTATTAGTTTAGAATATTTAATTTATATAACTATTAATCATATCGTATTAATTAAATAATTTAGGGTGCTTCTGAACCATCAGGCGTAATTAATCTCGCTTCTTATAATTCAGTAGTTCAAGATCCTTCGGTCACCAAGAAATCACAGTATTGCATTCGTATTGAAAAACTTGCACGTTCATCCGATTCTGTACGTTCAACCCTGAGCTATCGTGACGCCAAATCTCCAAATCCATTTATCGCCTACGCAGAATCTGAAGGGGAAATGCAGCAGTGGATAGCAATACTTCAAAAACGAGTTGGTGGTCGGAATATTGTTGATATTGTACTCGATCGATTAGACTTGACAAACGGTCACAGAAGACAAGGAAGTTATGGTTCATTAGGTTCATTCTATTCTCGTAATGGAAGTGCGAATGGTTCATCGTCAACTTTATCATCACGAAGACCTTCTTTAGATTCGATGAGTCAGGATACGCCTTCATTGGACTCTCGTAAAAGTTCAATAGATTCATTGCATAGTGGATATCAGACCGGAGAACGTCCAATCTCTACAATAATACTACCGACCATAACACAACAACAACAAAGATCTCGACCTCAGACACCTCTACTTAATCTTGGGATAGGGCAACCAATTCTTCGTAAGCCCGCTTCTCATTCATGTCTCCAAGATAGAAGATCAATCAATCCTCCTGTCAATGCTCATTCACGAAAACTTTCGCTTTCATTAAAAGATACAGCTGCAGCACCTTGTCATCCAAATGCTCCTTTAATTATGGTGCATGGTGACAATTCAAAATTCACGAAATCGCCTGATGCTGTATTCTTTCCGGAACGTGATATAAAAATGAAAAACGAGGATAATATACATTCATCAACATTTACACATTTGAATTCACTCGAAACATTCAAAAATTCAAATTGCTTATATAAAAAGAAAGAGGAAGTGGTTCTCGGTTCGCCGGTGACTCCAATAAGAAATGTGTTTCCGAGTCATTTATCAGACAGCAAATGATATTACTTACTGGTCTTTGCAAACATTTTCGCACATGGGGAATGGATTTTACATAGTTTTTATTATTATTTTTTTTTTTGAATGGACAATTGGTTTCTTTCTATTTATTTTCTTTTACAAAAATTATTTGCTTCATTGCTTTTGGCACGGCTAATTAAGCATCATTATCAACAATAGATTATTAATTTTTTTCACTTACTGTATAAATGCTATTTAATTTGGTGTTTTCTAACGTTAAACCCAATGCATTACAATCACCTTTCTAAATGTACATATTATTTCATAAGCACACATACACACATTTACCACACCAAAAAAATAAACTACCGAACATATCAATAGAATAGGTTTTACTAAATTTCAATTTGAAAAAAGAATTTCTCGAGATGTAAAACAACGTCAAAGAAACATGTATATTTTCGTATAATTTAAATACAAAGCTCTCCTCTTGTTATCGTTATAATCTGCGACTTCTTTGCATAAGATTCTCTGGTATGAATCAGCATTCACCTTGCCATCCAAAAATCACAAAAGATATAGAGAAACAAAAATCGCTAGATGATTTCAAATTTCTAATTTGAAAATTTTAAATTACATAGATATTAACCACTGTAACAAAGAATTGTATATGCGTATTTAATTGTTCCAATAGGAAAATTCCAACTTCATTTGATGTGTCAATATACATGTATAATGACGGCTTTGAAACATGTTTAATCGAATATAACAAATAAATGTCAATTTTGGAAGCAATATCCGTTCTTGCACTATCCGGTCTGTGTTCATTTGCGAATATGAGAAACAAATACTTTTAGATTATTCTCTTTATGCTACAATTATTTCATTTTCAACTATTCTTTAAAATCCTCATATTCATGCAGAACAATAAGACATGACTTTTTTCCTCAAGTGTATCACATTTATTTTTGTATAGACGTACCTTTACAATCTGTAACAAATAATGTGATTCTCAATTCCTTCTAAAATGTAAGTATTATATAGGTTTACAAATGACTTTCTGCACAAAAGTCTACGGGCAATGCCAAGGCGTAACTAAAAATGAACGCATGATCGATACAAAATACATGTAGTTTTACTGTATAACAAGAAGTTAATTCAGTCGATTATTATTGTGGTGCTGTTAAAAAACTATCCAGGGGCTAAAATCAAAAACAAAGCTGTTCTTTACGATATCTATATTATTTCTGCGTGGTGCAACTTATTTCTGACGGCATGAAATAAAAAAGCGTATGAACTCAGAAATACAATACCGATTGCGCAAAGCAAGAAACGTAAATTCATGTAAAATCTTCAATTCGCTTGCATATATATGTTGTGAATGGGAACGTGGCCAAATTCGAACAGGGGTATGACTAGAGATAGAATAAGATACTAGGAATAAAAATTGGTGTTGTCGGAAAATTTTAATTTCACCAATATTGTGAAGATTCTTGCAATGTAGCAGCAGTCGAACGTTGCTTTAAAGCATAAAGACGCGTACTAATTAAAATGCAAAAATTATAATACATACCTGCGTGTTTTACAGACAAAAGATTGCATTCATATTGTTCTTTGAATGGCTGAGAACAGATAGGTTCTCAAAGTTTGCGGTAAATTAACGGGGCAGACTTGAAAAGAAACAAAAACGACATTGAAATGCAAGCATGAAT